CAAGAGCCTTAGACGACTAAAGGGTTTGGTTCATAGCCTTTAGGTTACTTTGGCTTCCAAAAACCTGTCCTGTGCCCCCTCCTCACTCTCAGCCCCCTGGAGAGGGTATGTCAAGATCTCACTTGCATGCGGAAGTCTGTGCAGAGGTGGGAGCTCCTTAGCACGTGTATATAAATATTAGCACGGCGGAGATAGGACAGCTCTCCCGCTTCCACAGCCAGCGACGGCTCTGTCACCTTTCCCCTTACCCAGCACGTCAGTGGTGTTGATCTGCAGTATCAGCCAGCTGTGCCCATTCTCTTTGTATGAGCCAAAGATGGTGAATATGGTGCTTTTCTCCCCGGGCTCGGTAAGCAGGCCATACACAAACACCGGCTTCTCTGAGAAAGTGAATGTTTTCCAGGTTTCCCCTTCGTTTGTGCTGTACCTGGAGCAAGAAAATTGGGAGAGCTGCTGAGGCAGGTCCTGCCTGTTGCGGGGCACGCTCTCCTAGCCCCAGCCCGAGCACCAGAGGAATGCCCTGCCCTACCACTTACTTGAGCTGGTCGGTCTCGGTGCCTTGAGCAATGGCCACCAGAATGCCACCATGGTCACCCCAAGTGTAATAGTGGGGTCCAGACAGCGCCTGGAAGAGAAGCGGTGCCGAGAGGTGCATCAGAGCCATGCTGAGTTAAGGGAAAAGCTTGGCTGGAAAGCATGCTTTCTCAGAAACGCTGCCTGGCCCGAGCTAACGTTTCGGGTCGCCTTCGATGAGCCAAGTACCTGGAGGTACCAGAGATTCAAGTGTTTATGGGCCAACAACTGTAGGCAGGAGCAGCCAGCCCACTTTCCTAAATGTATAGCTGTGTTTGAGGGCAGCTCTGCACCCTTCGCTCTGCTCCTCCCGCACCCTCTGCGGGGAAAGAATCAACAGAAGAAGCAAGCCCCAGAGACAGTTCCTACATCCATGTCATGGAAAGAAACTTGTTACATTTCACACCCCCCGCCAGCTCTCTTTAGTGACGGTCGAGACAAACCCACCTTTGCTTTCCCCTCTGGGGAGCCCAACACAGCTCAGGATGAGAAGAGGAAGCCTGTACGTGCCTGACTCTGCTTGCAGGACACGCTAATGCACTCAGGGATGTTCTTACACAGGGCACTGAATGTATTGTTTCTTTCTTCTCTGTGCTCTGAGATCATTAACAGCGATCTGGAGAGCAACGAGCCTTCCAGCCTGCTGCTTGCCAAAGCCAAGAGGAAGGAGCTGCGTTACTGCTTCTCAGCTGAGGTCGTTCTCCACCTCTGCTCAAGATAAAAAGGGCCCAAATAACTCAGGAGCTCGGTGTTGCTGACCTCAAGTCAATGTTTCCTTGGTGTGTTTTAATTGCACCTCAAGGCAAGGTGCAACCTGTCTCCAAGCCAAGGGAAGCTGGCACCTGGAAGTCTCTGCTTTTGGGCACCCTTCCCTGACTGCGAGAGCCTCCGAGCCACGGTCAGCTCTGGCAACAGCCAGACCCGTGGCGTGTCCCCAGCACGGCTGCAGCTGCCCGGCCCTTAACCCAGACCGCACAGCACTTATGGGAGGAAAAGGGGCCATTTAATTCACAGGATTAAATAGCTTGCAGATGTTGAAATACCATATTACACTCGCAGCAGAATGCGCAGGCAGACCACAAATACTGCCGCAGACCAGAACACCCACTTAGTAAACAGCATTAAACTCCCCATAAACTGAGGGCAACATCCTATTTTTCTGGAAGATGCCAGAGTCTCTCCAGACTCTCACACACAAAGTTCTGGCTGTCAGCCCCACCTAAAAGGGGCCAGACACCCTGTGCCAGGGGCAAATCCTGCCAGGGGAAGAAAAGAAGTAGAGGAGAGAGCTCTTGTCCGTTTGAACCCATCGTCTCCATCTTGACCCACACCTTGTCCTTCGTCTAAAGACCTTTTTGCCTTGGTCTCAAGGGACATTTGGCACCTCCCAGCTACAGGTCTTGGATGCATACGTGGAGGTCACCTTTAATGCCTAAAAGCTGAACATAAAATCTGTTGCAACCACCTTGGCTGAGCTGGTAAGCAAAAGAGCAGTCTCACCTCTCTCCACCTTGCTCCTGCACTGCTCGACACATAGACGTTGGTTTTCCTCGCCATGTTCTTGCCGATGGAGCCTGGGAGAATGATAGAAATAGTTCTTCTCAAGGAATGCAAAGCAATTGCTTAAAATGAAGCCAGACACCTCTAAACTATTTTTATCTGTGAGCAAAATGGTAACGATCAAGAATATAATTTTTCACACTATAAACTAATCCATTCGAAAGCAAATATTCCGATGACTATTACAAGTTGTAAAAGCAGCTGGGGAAAAACTTATGGCTAAAACAATAGCTGTAAATTTTGTCTTCAGTACACGAGCAAGACAAGCAGGAATTTCTGTATGTTCAAGAAACACTTCACGTGGGCCACAGCAGGAAAGAGGCTCAGAATAAAGTGGACAAGTTTTCTCATGTCACTGCAGTAAAACATATGTGTTGTAATTACTGTATGGGGACTGCAGCAGAGACACCAAAATGTACGGTTTAATTGCCTTTTTGGAACCTGCATATATGAACTAGATGCTGCCAAGTCCTTCACGTCCTGACAACAAGAGCAAGAAAAGTGGGTACCGGTGGCGATGATCAGTCCCGGCGCCGACTCCTTGGAGAGAATGGGCATCCTCCGCAGCTGGAAATTCAGCAGCTGGCTCAGGCGCTGGGCCAGGTGGAGAGAGCAGCCCTGAGAAATCTGGAAAAGCCAAACGCAGCAGCATTAACCCTCCATCCCACGCTCCCCTCGTCCCTCTCCGCTTGGAAAAGCGAGCAGGGACTCCCTCACTACCTCACAGTCTATCCGCTCCCCGTAGCGCGTCTGTGCCGGGGGCTGCAGCAGCTCCCAGGTGCCCCCCTTGTCGAAGGTGATGACGGAGTGCATGTTCTCCTCGCTGAAGGAGCCGTTGATCAGGGTGGCGATGTAGACGCCTCGCACCCCTTCGACGCGGTGGAAGTCTGCAAAGGGCTCGTTGGCAAAATACCTGCGAGGAAAGGCAAAGGTGGGAGCGATGAATTGCAGCTCCCCTGGGTCTGGGGAGCAGGGCAAACTGATCAAACACAGCGAAAAAGCACAAAGAACTTGGCTGATGCTCATTTACTGCAGCTGATGAGGCGCATCCCACATTACCTGACCAAGGTGTCACTGCCAGCTCCTCCCGGGCTGTAGTAGAGCACGTTTTCTAAAGATAGGGAGAATTTCAGGCCTTCTGCCTCTGAGATATAGAGGTTGGTACGGTTGTCATCGTGGCTGACGCACACAAACACCTGGTCCTCCGAGGCATCGGCAACATAATATTCCTTTGGGATGTAAAAGACAGGTGAGGAGGCTTCATAAGCGTGGGTATACAAGCAGAGTTTATGAACAGGCTGGTTTAGCATTTCCTCTTAGCTAGGTGAAAGTTTTTGTTTCCTCCACCCATTTTATTTTTTCCCTTCTGCAAGTACCTTCCCCTTGCTTTTTGTTTTGTGTTTCTCCTCCAGCGACCTCTATCATGTACCATCACGTAAACCACAAGATCGTCCTAACGTGAGCTTTTCCGCTCAGGCGACCCCACCCTGAGCAGAGTCATCCGAGATCCCTTCCCAACTCCAACTCCCGCAGCGTCTGGAGAAACGCAGAAAACTGCTGCTGACATCTGAGGGCGTCCTTGGCAAAGGAGGCAGGGAAGAGGTCTTCTCGGAAAGCACCACTTACCTTAATTGGATGCTTGGTTACAAACTGTGCCAGGCGCATCGGCTTGCGGTTGAAGGAAACCCAGAGCTGGACTGACGGCGGCTGCGAGCTGCCTAGCAAACGCTGCAGCAGAGCGGAGGGACACGTTAGAGGTAGCTCTTGCCCCAAAAATAAGCAGCCTAATTTTTCCCAGGCTCTATATTGCTAAGCAACTGCACTTCCCATGGAAAGAAACAGAAGCCAGTCCTGGGTGCCTCTCCCACTCAGCCTGTCCTCTTCCCAGAACCACTCCTGCTGCTGCTGAGGTTTGATGCAAATGCCCCATTTCAGACCTGGGGATACAGTTTCTCAATGAGGGATTTGCAGCCAGGCCAGCCTCCCTCCCAGTCTCTGTGTTTCTCAGCTGTGTTTGCCTCCTGCATGGAATGAGGGTGATTTTCATGTGGTTTAGTACAACACCAGCCATTAGAGCTGCAGGGGAAAGCGTAACCGTGGCCCCTGTGACCCCTGAGCTCTCCAGAAGCAGAAACAACCCCAAAGAACCCCCAAATGGAGTTCAGGCTTGGAAAGGTCCTGACTCAAACCTGCCTCGTGCTTTCATGACGCTGCCTCCTGAACCAAGTGGCTTTGTCGCAGAGGCACAGACCAACCCCCCCGTGTTTCACCCAACACCAAGAGCAAGCCTAGACAGAATCTTCCGTCAACCACAGCAGGCTCCAGATCGGGAACAGCACCGAGGGGATGCGCCCCAAGAGTTGCAGCCTTTACTACCTGCAAGAGAGACTGAAAGCACTTGCAAATACTTCCCCTGCCAGCACCAGACACCAGCGCGGCTGCTCAGGTGGCCGGAGGTGACATGCTCTCCACTTACTGCCTAGGAAACTCTACATGATTTTGCAAGGAGCCACCCCTAAATAGCAAAGATTGCTCTTAAAACAGACTCCATGGCAGCAGCGGGCGCTAGCATCTTCTAAAAAGAAAACTGCTCCTTAAGTCCTAGAAGGAATAGGACTCAACCCTTCCGGTGTCATGTCACTGATCGTCTAGAAAGGACAGTTCTGTGGAGACCCACTTCGGAGCAGGTAAG